TTGCCAATCTACCGCTGGATGTACGCACTTTGCATGGGTAACTGACAACGGCGGTACGTGCTGGATGAAAAGCGGGCCAGTCTCTTGGAATAATGCTCAATCTTCATCCACTGCTGGAATATTTTGCGGAATTCTCAACCAAGGGCCAGTAGTAACCACTACAACTACTGTCCCTGTAGTTACTTCCCTACCGCTAACTACTACTACTCTGTCCCCATCAACTACTACTTCAATAGCCCCCACCCCGACTTTCACAGAAAGACCAGGTTGCGACTTTAAGGGCCAGGGTGATTTTCAGCATGTTACCAATCTGGCTGAGAACCAATGCGGTCCAGTGTGTGTTAAAACCGATCTCTGTACTCATTACACTTGGGTAACTGACAGTGGAGGAACTTGCTGGATGAAAACAGGCAATGCCACATTATCTGATTCAACTCCATCCAGCACAGCTGGGATCTACTGTGGAGCTGTATTGAACAAACCTGCACCTACCCCGCTAACTAGACTACTGACTCCAGATCAAATGAGTGCGTTTGCTAAAGCTTCCGGTACTCAAGTTACTTTGAATGGAAAGCCGTTCTTCTTTGGTTCGTCAAATATTTACCGCTTATTTTATACTCTGTCATCTGATTTGCCAACTTACTTTAGTGATGCGATTACTGCTCGATCAAGCGTTATTCGTACCTGGTGGTATTGAATTTGCTAACCTAGTTATTGCGATGGACCAGGTTGCAGTGATACCTCCCACGCAAATTTCAAGTTCTACTTCACCGATGCACAGAACGGACAATTAGTTTTCAATGATGATGTTAGCTCTGGATTAGGAAGAATGGATGTGGTTCTACATCAAGCAAACCAAGCAGGCATAAAGTTAATTCTCACTTTGGCAAATAACTGGGGAGATTTCGGCGGTATTGATTTTTATGTTAATAGCTTTTCAACCAACAACCCTAAATCTCATTCTGATTTTTACAAGAATGCAGCAGTAAAGACTCAGTTCAAGCGATGGTTGAACCATGTGCTTACAAGAGTAAATAGCATCACTGGGGTTGCTTACAAAGATGATCCTACTATTTTTGCATGGGAATTGGGTAATGAATTCAGATGCGTTGGCTCTGGTCCGCTGCCCCCCGGAAGCTGCAGTCCCAACGATATAACAAGTTGGATAGACGAAATGAGTGGCTACATTAAATCTATAGATTCAAATCACATGGTTGCTATTGGAGATGAAGTAGTTTAGATTTTACTGTAGGGGTTCTTTAACAGTGGACATTTCAGCGGAGGTTATAGTGGAAATCCCTATGGCGACTTGTTCAATGGTGTAAATGACTTTGAACGTAACGCAGGCCTATCACACATCGACATTCTCTCATTCCATGCCTATTTTGATCAATGGAATACTCCAAATGAACCTCAGAAACTTCAAAACTCTTTGCAATGGATTCGAGATCACAACTCGGTTTCCAAAAATGTAAACAAACCAATTTACCTTGGTGAATACGGAATTGGTAATATTCAAGACAAGTTGAACGATTTTCCACAAATGCAAGGTCTTGTGCAAGATTTGGGGATGGCTGGTTCGTTAATGTGGTTACTACAAAGTACTGAAAATGGACAGCCATGCCAGGAAACTGCAGATAGTGCAGGAAGAACTTATGGTTTGTGCGTTAGCGACCCAAACGCATATACTGTCCTGATTAATCATGGGAATTATATGTTCCAAAAATCCAATCAATAGGGTAATGTAAACATCAAATAAAAACCTTTAACAAGTACTGTTGCCTTTGAATATTGACAAGTCTCGGCTAGCAATAACCCAATGCCATTCAATTCTTAACAAACTCATAAGCCATCCAAAGGATTTTAAAGTCTACTCACAGGCAAAAATTCATTTTAAAAACTTTGAATACAAGATCTGGATCTCTAATGTAGTTGTTAAAATGTACAGAACGGAAATACATGTCATAAAACTGCGGAAGGTAAGATCATATGGATTATGCGCTTATGATCCACACGATCTCGATTGATTATGGAAAATAGATGTTTGAAAAGAGCAACCAATAAGGTTTGATGTATTTGAAGTACAACTTGTTAATTACTACGATCTCTTGCACCGCACCATAGTGTATTACGTAAATCATTCTGAAAGACACACTGTAACGTAGCCAATGCCCCGTAGAATACCCAGCAGGGTGTCACTGAACATTGCTGAATAGTAACTTGGAATTTTCCTATCAAAGGAAACTCCTCCGATAGCATTTGGTCGCAAAAGATAGTCTGCACCAATGTAGTACGTATCAACATGAGATAGTGTACTACCAGATGAAAATGTGCTTGGGGTGTAAATTAGTGCATTTCTAGTACCACTGCATGTTGGAAACCATATGCTAGTAGATAAAGGAGTTTCAAACAAGTGTAACATGGACTGGCTCAGTTTATATCCTATTGTTTCATTGAAAGGTTTCTTTGTTGCCAATGAGTGGTTTAAACTTTGAAATATGCAATCGGAATACACGCTCAGCCAAACATTGTTCAGATTATCACTTAGAAATTTGTTGAAAATAAAGGGATACAACATTCCGCTAATAGTATTGTTGAAATAGGATGGGTATGAAGGCATGAATCCAGAAAATTCTGGTTCGTCCCATGCTTCCCAAGATGATAGGAAACCTAGGCCGTGTATCATCTCGTGCATCGTAACTATTTAGATTAGGTATACCTGAAAGAAATTCAAACGATTTCTGGTCAGTTTGGTTGTAGAATCCCCCGTAAACAACATGACTTGTACCCCAATTCTGTACATCGCCAAGGAAATACCAGTTATAATCACTATTGAATTCCGAAACAATGTCATACTGAATCTGAGTCAAATTTTCGTCATTTGGATAGTACTGTTTGATCAGCGATGGTGGGTAGAGATATTTTGCATCTAGTCCAAGTTCAATAGCTTCATGGGTTTCCAGCTGAATCATTGTAGATGGCATTGCTGTTCCTAGTACATTATCTACGTCGCAAGAGCTTGATGTTGAGCAAAAAGAATAATATTGAGAGAGTACGTTTACAGGTTCAGGTAAATAGACATATTGTTCGATAAACTGTAATCCTTGCTCAAGGGTATTCCTTACTTTAATACAGGTGGTATTTGTATCCCCTGGTGGTGAAGTACATTCCAAGTCAACGTTAAAGCTCTTGGTTTTGAAACTGAAATTGGAATTTCTTTTTCTATATCTTGCAGGATTATGTTGCCCATATCTATTTCTACCTAAGGATTTATCTAGACTGTATATATCCTTTACTAGAGATGAATGCGAAATAGAAATGAGAATGGCCAATTTCATGACACGCGTTGTTTATTTTTCAAGTTTAGATCCAAGTTTTTCAAATTGAGCTTTGCACAGCTGTACCCATTCTGAATTCTCTTGGTCAAGGATATCCAGCAATTCCAAACAGGACTTTTCAAGACCTTCTATTGATTCGAATATCAGTTCATCTTCATAATCTATTGGAAGATACAAACTGCTAATCAAATCATCCGCCCGTTCACTAAATTTATTTGCCAAATCTAAAATTGCATCCGCTTTCAAGATATATTCATCATTTTTTGATTTAAGAACAGTCATTGCTTTTTTCAAAACCAATATGCTAGTTTTCACTAGCACTTGGCTGTTTCTGATGAATTCCTTGTCTTTATCAGTTGGTTTAGAGTCTTCCAAGGTTAGTCCATCCAAATCTGGTAACTCTCCGTCTATGATTTCATTTGCCTCGGTTGCAGCGTCGTCTAGTAACTCTATAACTTGTGACAGCAAATTACATACATAAAGACTATTTGAAACCGGTATTTGCTGCAAAACTATACATTTCTCCCATACTTCTCCAGTAATGATATCAATATTTCCTTCATTTTCAAATGCTCTAATGGAATTTACTAAATTCAATGCTGATTCAAGTAAATGCAATTTCAAAGCTCTACCAATAGAAATTGGTGCTGCAGAGGCATGCGTGACCAATAAATTGGTATGTACTAGTAATGAGTCTGTAGCCTGTCTCAGTGCCTTTTCTGATGAAGTTTCCTTTCTTGCAAGAGCAAAAGCAGTGATTTCATGGTGAATCATTTTCGAAATATTACTAATCTCTTCGGAATTCAACTGCGTTCCAATGGTAGCATCAGCATTGATTAAACTAATTTCCTTCTCCAAGTATTGTTGTAGACCTTGCAACTCTTGAAACATTTTTCAGAAAAAAATAAAATCCAAAATGGACTTTTGGGTGGCCTTGGTATTAGTACTAATGATGACGTTTATCATGTTTGCATCGCTTAGAGAAAAATCAAACACCATCCTGGTAGTGTTAGGTTCTGGAGGTCATACAACGGAGATGTTCAAGTTACTAAGGAATATCAATTTTCAGCAGTACAAGTTTTTATATTTGATGGCAGATTCGGATTCATCTAGTGAGGCACATCTAAGGAAATTCGATCCAAGTTACACATTATTGAGAATACCGAGAAGCAGAAATGTTGGACAATCGTGGTTTTCAACGCCTTTCACAACGGTATATTCAGCTTTTTATTCTGTATATATACTATTTAGACATGATCCTGCACTGTTGGTCTGTAATGGCCCAGGTACTTGCGTCCCTACTTGTGTCTTGGCGTATGTGTTTAGAATGTTGCTGTTATGCTCAACAAGAATTATTTTTATAGAATCATTTGCTCGAGTTAAATCGCTATCATTAAGCGGCAAGATTTTGTATTATATTGCGAATAGGTAACTAGCTGTTAACCAGATTTATTGTTCAATGGCCTCAACTGAAAGAAAAATATCCCAAAGTGGAATATTATGGTAAACTAATTTGAATAAAACTTGAATATCTATTCGGGCTTGTGTAAGTCCAGTCTCCTTTGAAGATCTAATTTTGGCACTATATCTCAAAATAGTGCACAACTAGAACTTGATGGAAACTGCATTTTATACGACCGCTTTGTATTTTCAAAAAAAGAGTGGTCACTGCCGGGTTCGAACCGGCGATCTTTCCCGTGTGAAGGGAACGGAGTAACCACTTTCCCAAGCAACCACTGCCGCTTCGGAAACCGTCATCTAAATAAACAAAAGCTTTGAACGATTTTTTGCTGGGTGTAGAGTTGCTGGCGTTCTACTTTGTCTTAAATCACTGGATTTAAATATGATTTATTAAGAATTACAATTTCTTTCCGGTTCTAACTGCCTTTCCAATCTTTTTTGCTAAAACTTGCGCTTTTGTTTTCTTTACTTGTCCTGGCACAGCTTTTTTCTTTCCAAGCTTTGGCTTTGATTTGAGCTTGATACTATGGTCTCTTTTTGCCCTAGTGCCCTCTACTACTTTAGTTGCTTTAGCAGACTTATCTGCGAGTGATTCAACCGCCCTGGTAACACGAACTTTACGCCCTTCGAGGTCATTGTCATTCAACTTTAGGGCTAGTACTACGGAAGCCCTTTCTTTAAATTGCACATATCCAAATCCTTTACCAACATTTGTTTTACGGTCTCTAATTAAGCGAACATTTTCAAAGTTAATTTTGATTTACCAATTTCACCAATGTCTTCAAAGAATTTCCAAACTTGCTCATCTGCAATATCAAAAGGAAGGTTTCCAATGAACACACATCTTTTAGAATCCCTTTGTTTTTCCTGTTTCTTTTCAGCGATATCAACTCTTATATGATGATCCATGAAAACACATCCGTTTAGAGAGAGAGCTTTCTTGGCAGGACCGCTTTCCTTAAATACAATATATGCATTTAGTGATTCCCTTTTGTCATGAAGCTTCTTGGCGATGAAAGCTTGCTTTCTTGGCAACTTTTCTGAAAACGCCTACATTAATATAGAATACGATAGAGCGGAATCTAATACTTTCCAACTTTCCGAATTGACTAAAGAGCTTTTGCAAATCTTTTGTTGGTTCCTGAATTAATTTCAAAGTACCTTTTCTATGACAGTGACAGGTAAGTTTCCAACAAAAATCGTTCTTTCATTCTTTTCGATTATTTTTTGAATCTTTTCTCTCCTTGTTTCAGTTGAATTGGATTTTGGTGCTGCTTCCTCGTCATCAGAGGTTTCAGCATTAATAATTTCCACATCATCATCCTCACTATCGCCTTTTACATCTTCATTCTTTGCTTCCTTTTTATCACTCTTTTCTGCCTTTTTCTTTGTTACTTTGGCTGTGGGTTTTTTTATTTCAGATTTTTCTTTTGCTTCCTTCCTTTCTTCCCTTTTCTTTGGTTTCTTTGGTTTTTCGTCTTGTGTCTCATTTTTCGGAGTAGCATCAACAGAAAATAGTGAATTTACTGTTTCATCGGGGGTAATAGCGCCAAAGAGTGAAGAGACTATAGTCATTTTGAGCAGAGAAAAAAAAAGAAAAAAAAAATATATTCTGACAGAGGTATCTGATTTCATTCTGCATACTCCAGGCGAATTGAATTTAGTCATTGCTGGTGGGTAGTAACAAAAGTTCATCTTGTACTTTTTCTTCAGCTTGAGCAAGATGGATGGAGGGGAGTGGCTTGGGTGACCTCTGAAAAAAGTCTGTTGAAATTGAAAAACTTAACTTGCAATAAATGCTGAAAGAGAAACAACTAACTCCAGTATCTCTCTCACCACCATCAATGGCAGTAGCAAAACAGAAAGCTTCAATAACTTCATCTCCTTTATCTTCAGTTTGGAGTAATGACTTTGATCTCCAGTCTGATAGAGAGACAACAAATGGAAAGGAAGAGAAGAGTAAATTTCTAGTTAACCATAGCTTACAAACTCACTCACCATGAAGCACTTCAAGTTTTTTCCAGAATAGAAAATGCATTTAATAGCATGAAGCAAAGGTAGGATCAACAATTTCAAGCACCGTTGCAGATATCTAGAGATATCCAGCTGCACTTTATTTGAAATCCCAAAGGACAGCAAATTAACCTCTAGGATATTCGACGAAGGAATGGCTGAAATTGAAGCCGAAGAAGTATCGATAAGGAATGGTATTTGGTTATTTGATGGTAGGAACCAATCCTGAATTTGTATCGCAGCTTCAAAAGATGGAAGAGCAGCAAAGGAAGAGACTTCAGCATTTACTTCAAGAAAAAAGCCATCATGAGCAATTAGCTATCAACCAGTACGAGGCTACAGCTCAACAGCTTAAAACAGACCTTGTGGTAATGGTTCTTTAATTATAGCTTGGGAAAATTTGTAAGCGAAAGGAAATCTTGGAGCAGGTGTACAAAAGAAAGAGGAGACAGGAAGCCGATATTAGAAAACATAGAAATTGCTATGCTCCTGCCTTAGAGTCACATTATAACTCTCTAGGTAATATTTTCTTTATCTCAGTGCAACGAAATGCCATTTTCCAGCATAGAAGACAGCGACAGGAAATGAATGAGTGGAATCCAATATTAAAAGTTGGATTTCCTTCAAGCTCTATTTACGGTTTAACTGAAGAAGAAGCCTTGCAAGATTTAAAAATGCTGAGCGGAGTAATAATTTTTTAACTTTAGCAAATCCCTGCGGATTGTCTTTTTGAGCCTATACAGAACGAGAATGTCCTCAAAACTTGTAATTACCCAGTATTAGATACACAAACTCAGAAACCACTAATCGTTATCAGAGGCGAAAAGTTGTATATCAAAGGCATACCCTATTGCAAGAATGACAAGGCGTACCTGTTTGACAACGGAACTAAATTTACAGTGAAACTGATAAATATCAGTGATCGGGATTTAACTGTACAAAGAACCGACGGCTCCAAGACTAGACTGTCGTTTTCACTCCTTTTAGAGGGTAGAGTTACACTCTCTCCTACACTGTGAAATGTAATAGATTCAAATAAAATTGTATTTACCTGGACTTTAGCAGCGGGTTTTTTGTTTTCTGAAATGTCAATCAGGAAAGCTGCCTCGCTTATTGTGCTTGCTAAAGAAGCAGGATCAAAATTCAGAGTTCTTTTATTGCAAAGGAGTTCGCACGGATACTATGGAGGGTTAGCAGTATTTCCAGGTGGGGCTCTCCATCCATCAGACGCAAATCCTGATTACAACTGTCTTCTTCCAAAACAACAGCGATCTTGGTTCAAAACACATTCCAATTATGCAATTGCAGCATTAAGAGAAACATTTGAAGAGGCTGGCCTGTTGTTATTGGATCCTTGGGTAAAATTAACAAAGGACGAAAATCAAGAACTACGCAAAAAGGTGTTGAATGATCCTACACAATTCATCTCACTTTCAAGGACGTTACTGAGAGTTCCAATCCTTCATAAACTCATTTACTGGGCAAATTGGATATCACCTGTTCACATGGAAAAGCATCGATTTGATACACACTTTTTTCTAACAATCATTAGCCAGGAACAAAAGCAAGATTTTTCATTGGAAGCAGATGGTAGAGAGACGCTTAAAGCACTGTGGATGACACCTGAGGAAGCGCTGGAAGCCTATTCTAGGAAAGGTAACTATAACTGATTGTAGAGTTAAAACTGCTACCGCCTCAGTATTGTACTTTAAAGCAGCTTTGTGAGACTTCCATTCAAGATCTTGAAAAGGAAATTGAAGATATTAGTACCACCCGAACTGTTTTACCTTACATGCCAGAGTTCCTTCGACCGTCAGAAGATGGAGGTGGTATATTTGCTCTACCTGGAGATAAGGAATATTCTGTGCCTGGCAATAAGCTAAACAAGCTCGTGATGTATCGCAAAGAAGGCAAAGTCGAAGAAATTAAATGGTTACGATCAAAACTATAGACAATCAATCGCAATAATAACTTATTCCTTTATGTTACCAATTATATCCAAACCAAATTGAGCTACAGAACCCTACACTGGTAGGTACATTTAAAGCAAAGTGACACAGACACTTGCCAATCATAAAAAGAGCGTCATACATTGTAAGTTTACCATCGCCATCAATATCCAAGTGCTTTTGAGCCAACACCTCTATCTTTTCCCAATTTATTGTTACCAACTCACAATAAGTTAAGACCTTAGTCAAGACGAAAATACTTGAAGGATGAGGCACATAAACCCTATCATCAAGACTAGGATTTTCCCAAAGGTTTTGAAGGAATATCCGATCGAAAATCCCAAGATGCACGCCTAAATTAGCATGTCTTACAAAAACAAGCTCTGTTGGCCTTGTATTCTCAAACATTGACACAAATATTGGCTTACCGGTAATCTCTGATTGTATGGATGTATTTTCTTGGCTATGGGTAGAGTTGATTGTATTTGATCTTGATGTTGAAAACTCTTCAGAACTTCTACTTCTAATAGTTTCCACTGGTTTGCGTTTAAGAACCTTGTAATCTGGATCCACTGCCATCCCTACAGGATCATTAGTGATTTTGGGTTGTTCGTGATACACTGGGACGGTAGCTGGATTACCCTGGTGGTTTTCGTGAAAATAATGATCCGACATTCTATGCTCGTTCGGACTTAATCCATATATAGGCTGATACTCTTTCGGAGCGGATCCATAGACGACGGGTGGGGATGAACCATGGTTGAGCGGTGGAGAGATTCCATACTGGTTGGTGGGTGAAGATCCGTATAGAGTAGGTGGTGAAGATCCATACCTTCTATCTAGGGTTGATTGGCGATTAGTTGGGATTTTAATTATTGGTTTTCTGATCTTTGTGTTATCTTCTGCAACAAACTCCATGTCAGAAGGAGGCACAAACGAGCGATATGAGTCTTCATCGTCCGCAAACTTCTTATCCGAAGAAAATCTCGATTTGATTTGGTTTGGGAAAGTAGGTATAATTTTGTATTCCATCAGCAAGTCAAAATTGCGAGAATTGCCTTTTTATGTCTGTGTAAGGTGTTCACACCAAACACAACACCCTCCACATTTTGCGACTCAAACACCAACATGATGGAATCACTTTATTTAAAAGCCTCAGTAACTTGATCGAGTAAATCTTGCTTCTTTTTCTTTGTAATCTTCACCTTCTTTTTCTTCAAGATTTCTGTTAATACTGGAATCGTGTACTTTGCCAAGGTTCCTTTTGCAATCGCATTTCTAATAGCCTCATCAGACAAATCCTCCTCAAACT